AACTACGCTACCACGTGCCCCTATAATTACTTGTGGAAACAAACATTAAGAGTCCAATAAATCTAGTTATTAAACTGAACTCCTTGTCTAGCCACTAAATACGCGACAACATTTGGAGGTCCCAGGTTCAAATATCAGCCCAGAAATCAGCTAACCTAACTGATGATTTTGTGGCCTTCTTCCAGGCAAATACCAGGAGAGTGCCTCAAATTATGTCATGCTCACTCCCTTACACATCCTTTCCAACTCGCTATTTAGCGATCTTCTACAATTCAACACTACATGGTCTGACCTACTAAACGCATCACTAAAAAAACCAAGCAAAGACAAATAAGAACAGGTAAGTTGGTTGGTATCCAATGGCTGCATTTGGGATCATTTAACCCATTTTCCTTCTTGCTTCCCAATAGACAGCACTCAAGTGCTTGCTTTGTTGCATCTCCTTGTTCAGATTAGGGCACTGAAGGAGGTGTTCTTTTCCCACAGATGATCCTGGCAAGTTGCACAGTGTACATTCTTCTGTGTTATATATTCCTATCTTATAAAGATGCGCTGCAAGGCATTCATGTCCCGTATTCAATCGAAAATTTACAACAGCTTCTTTTCTGGGTTTCTTGCTGTTAATTTCCCAAAGTTTTCCTATTTCTGACCATTTCTTGTTGTATGGTTCTTTGTTGATGGTATGGAATATTTCTTTACTTGTTTTAGTTTTGATTTTGTTAGCTAGCGTGTGGGCACTTTCAACTTACCTAGAAGAATAGGTAAGTTGAAAGTTTCATTCTTTAAATCTGTGATTTTCATTACATAATTGATGGGCAGATAGCTGTGTATTATCACTGTAGATGAGTACAGTCCACATCAATCATCACATGACAAACACACATACTTACATTCACCTTGCCCAAAGTAACATGGGATTTCCCATACATAGTTGCACTGAGATCTGTTGCAGAAGAGCCAGTTGTTCCAGCATTTGCACCTACTCCAGCCTTGCTCTGAGACTGGCTGCTTGACACATAGCCAGTTTTCCCATAGTCTTGATTCTGCGCAAGACCATCATAACCTGAACCATACCCAGACCCATAGCTTCCAGGCTTTGGATACTGTGTAGTGCTTGCGCTGCCGTGAGCATTCGTGGCTGGAGGCATCTGGAAATCAGAGAGAAATACATTCTTACAATTCTTTCACAGGAAGCAGCTTTCCAGGCCACATTTCTTCTTCTGTTAATACTCAATGTTGGCATTAGTTTCCTGCTTATTAACATGCCAGTTCTCTTACTATATTGACAATATTCTGAATAGTGGTTCTGTGCGGAACTCAAAGTTCCAGGTAACATTCTTCTTAATTTCCTTTACACTTTAAGGCACAAGAGATCACTGTGGTCGCAGTGCAGGGGCCAAGAAGGCCCACCCCTTATACATACATTCACATCTTTACACTTTGCATTAGTTTCAGATAAGAACATCCAATGCTCATAATGAAGTATTTTTACATCAAATTACTTTTTTCTTAAACTCTTTGGTATCAATTCACTTACTGTTATGGAAGAGGCATGAATCAGCACTGAAAAAAGAGCATGTAGTACACAGTGAAACCCCTGCTTTGGGCTTCTTTGTGGAGTGATGTGCTTGAACACTAAACTAAGAAAAACTGTCAACGGAGGAAATTTATCACCAAGATTACTGACTTGGGCGCAATGAAAATAAACATTAAAAAAGGAAAAATTTTATATCAAGAATCATGAAATATGGATTCCACTACATACAGTGTTCATTATAGATCAAGTCTGGACCAATGTGCAAAGAGGCTACACAATCTGAAATAATATGTGATCTTGTATCATGTAAACATGACAGTGTCCGTGAGATTGAGGTTATGGGGGAAACATGGTGGGATACACAGTTGACTGATCTTTCCTTTTATGCACTGTACGTGTTTATCTTCACTGCAACAGGCAGGAATGTAAATTTATCGGCCACAAAACATGTTACCAGTCATGATGTTGTGACAGCTCTTAGGCTGAGTGAGCCAGAAGTTAAACAAATGGGGCAGTAAATTCCATATAAAAATATGGTAAGGTAATGTAAGGTAAGATCAAGTCAAATTATAATTTTACCGGATAAATAGCAGGCGTTCCATACTGAAAGCTGCCTGGCATCATTCCTCCTCCATAGAAGTATGCATAACCTGGAGGCAATGCTGTAGGATTCAACATGGGCTGCTGGTGTGCCTGCGTGGCACTCTGTAAATGACAAAACTACATGAAGAAATACTAGATAAAAATGCTGTATAAGTGGAAAACATCATGCTAATAGTAAGGATGATATATTTACTATGATATTTAAATAATTAGTATCTAGTAAGGCTATGAAAACAATGATCCAAGTAAAATTCTGCAATTTACAAAGTAAAAATAGCACAATCAAGTTAAAAAACAATTTTTTTTATTGCTAGTGGGGTGGGACTAAGTCCCTTGTACTGTGGCCACTTCTGGCCTATTGTACCAGCCCCAGATGATAGGTGGGGATGATTGTGGAGCAATTGGTGGAATGAAGATTGGCAGGGGAAACTGAAATACTTGGAGAAAACCTGCCCCAGTGCCACTTTGTCCACCACAAATCCCACTTGACCAGACCCGGGATCAAACCTGGGCCGCCATGGTGGGAAGCCAGCGACTAACCGCTTGAGCTATGGCATGGCCCTAAAAGACAACTGAAATGGCAATATTATGATGGGTAAGAGTGGATTACATTTATATTCACTGGGATTTAGTGGGCAACAGTCACTACTGGCAGATTTAATTCTTAAATTAATATGCTGTACTGTGAATATTTCAGTAATTTCAATAAGCCACGACAGACTCAGCTTTCGATACGGTGAAAGTAAAACTTGTTATTATATGACATAATTGTATGAGATTTTATTGTACACTACTGCTATGATGGATGGGTTCCTGAAACTAATCTGTGAGTGAGGGGCATTCTACTTCCATATTATAAGAGCATTAAAGATTAAGTTGTGAATATCATAAGTGTTTTTTTCTGGGGGGGTGGGGGGCAAAATATCTGTTAACTCTTTCAGGGAGTACCAACAAGAAGAAAAACTTCAAGAACCACTGTTACAGTGTACAATTCCCACCTGCTGTGAAAGAGTAGAAGGAACTGGAGAGGCATTGTTGTCTGCCCTCGTAAAACGGCCATCAGACATGGAATATGCTACACTAGCCAAGCCTCCTTCTCTCCCTGTAGCTAAGCTTGTTGGAGCCTGGAAACCCATATCATAATACCCTGGTGCCTGCAACAAGAAAGTATGTTTCAGTATATGGGATCACACAAATGAAACGAGGCTGATGGAGGCTTCTGCATAATACATACGACTCAATAAATGTACTGTGTAAAGAAATACAAAAAAAAAGTAAAGCTATCTCTGTAACAGGCTGTGAAGTCACATAGGGTTGTGAGATGTCAAGGGTCCCACATTATCTAGACAATCGGCTCAAAGAGGATGGTAAGGTTATCTGCCTTATGCACCGGCTGCACTTTACTCCCCATGAAAATTATTTAATTAATTCCTGGTACTCATTTCTGTGTAAAGAAATATACCATTATAAAATTCAGCTGAGTGTGGTCCCCTTCACAGTACTCACTTTCAGGCTTTATGAACATATTTTAACAACTATTTCATTCCAGGAAACAATGCTGAAAATCATTTTCTAAAATTTTTTTTCAGTAATGTTGTAAAACTGACCTAACTGTCTTCATTTCAAGCAGATGGCTGAGCTCACAGGTGGCAGACTTGTTTGACGCAGGTACACAAAAACTAATTCCCCAATACGATAACTACCTCAATTCCAGCAATGACTATGGTTTGGAAGTTCTTTTGTACATAATAACTTTTTTCTCATTTCTTGTTTTCTTAACAGCTCACTGGAGGTTACTTTCTGAATAGCCCTCATATATATATATATATATATATATAACCTCCACAGTCAATAAGTTCGTGGAATGGCCGCAAAGCATCGTATGGGAATTTACTGCCAATATGTTTCAACAATGGTTTCGACAGCTATATCAAGGTTGGCAGACTTGCATAGGGACCAACAGCAACGATTCTGAGGGTCGATGTGGATCTGCGTAAATGTATGTGAATACCTTGTAATATGAAATGATAAAACCACATTCCACGAACTTAATGACTCTACCACATATATATATATTATAAATATTTGTCATTAAACACTTAGTACATTCCATATGCATCTACTGAACCAGATGACAATGACAATTTACCCAACTACATACCTATGCATAAATATCCTTCACTGCTGACATATCTACATTGGGTTACGCAATACAGAATCAAGTTTAGTGTTAGGTCAGGTATATGGGAAAGTTTAGGTTATGTTACCAGTACCACCTTTCCTGTTAATATTAGGTTGTTACAGTTACTGTTGCCATTATTTCAAGACAAAATCAATGTAGATTTGGTACCAGAGGTTCAGCCATCAGAGCTTCCATTTTCTTTTCTGCCTGTACAGTGAAGTCAGCAAACAGAGTACGCATAACAAACTCTCCAGGTCTGATATCCATGTCTATGTGGATACAGGCTGGATATGGGTACCGTTCTTTGTGAGCACCCCAAGGTAACACTGTGCCAGTTGCACTCCCAGACTTCACGCTGTC